TAATCCAGTGAGAAAATCAAAATTTTTGAAAATTAATTCTAAATTACTTACAGGTTTATCCTTCATTGTAGGTGAGGAAACACACCAGTAGTACTTTGCCTCATCCACAATACATGCATTTATAAGACTTTGAACTGAGCGTTCATCTTGAAATAAAAGAAAGCAATAGCCTGCAAACAAGGAAAAAATGTCGCTTAAGCAGGAAGCCTTTACCCAACAATATAAAAGTAAGTGAATAGAACTGCATTTCATATTTATATATTAGTTGTTTAAGTAAAATAAAGTAGTGGCAAATAAATCGATACAATCAGATTATTCATGTCAAGTCTTTCAGAGTTAACAAAATTGATATAGATTTCTCACATAAATAGGAAAGAAAACATTCAAATGGGTAACATTTTCGTTTACCTTTGGGTGGGAAATAAGCTTTGCTTTCCGTTTTATGAGGCCAATCTACTATGAGAGGTCCAAAGCGTCTGAAAGCTGTGGTTATTTCCTCTGAAATATATGTATATACATTTAAAGATATGAAACATGCATTTAAATTTGTATCAAAAAAGGAATTTAGCTGAAAGTAAAGCAATATAATACCTTCATCAATATCGGGCGGGAGACCACCAACGAAAACCTTTCTCGAATAGCCCTCCTCACGAGCAGGCATGCTGCTTAGGAATGCATATGGATTTGATGGTCCCAGATTGATTGAGGTATTATTGCTATTAGTGCCAGTTGAACCCAGTCCTGATCCATACTGAGGTGGATGATCATTGACTGAAAGACTAGCAGCGAGGTTAGCCAACGATTCATCCAGACCAGAATTTATGGAATTGTTTCCACCAATACTCATATTTCCTGTTAGGCTTGCTAGACCACTATTACTAGAGCAAGAGCCGCTACCACCAGCTTCAATACCGCTCGCATCAAAAGACTTGATTACATCCATTAGTTGTTGGTCAAAACCAAACCTGAAGGTATCCAATGATGAAGAACTATCGCCTATTCCTATCTGTGAGAAAGTGTCCAGAGCGTTTCCCATTACTAATGGAGAAGTAATACAAGATGAAGCCAAATTGTTGTTAATAGCATTATTGCTGTTATTGCCTGCCCCGAAAGAATGATGAAGTATTGAGTAATTGGATGCGCTGCCTGGCCCACTATGATTAGAAGGACCTCCAATGGAAGAAACAGAATTTGCATCGGTATTGATGATATCATAAATGTTTGAGCTGTTTAGTGATTTACTCGAAGAATGGCTTTGTTGCTGATGCAGAATATGCTGCTGCTGTTGCTGCCAATGAGCCATCATACGATGCTGCGGACGCTTTGGAAACATTGTATAGAGGTTTGACAAGCAATTGTTATTCGGCTTAGACAAGCCTGTAGAACCAGTAGTGTTGTTTAAGGACGGACGTATATTTCCATTACCTAATAAATTACAACCACCGCCAATCCCAGGATTTCCTAGGCTCTGCCCACTGCTAGTTGAGCCTGACTTTAAATGACTTTGCTGCACCATAGTTTGATTCCAAAGACTTGTTCCGGAGCTGGAATTTGGACTGACACTTGGACCTGACCAATTATTCTGCTTTCCACTTAAATTTAATGATGCCGAAGAGTTGCTGCAAGAAGTTGCTATTCCAGATGAAGTCGATATCGGCAAGCCATTGGGGGAGGGCAGACTTGTTAAGCCCCAACCATTTGGCCTAACTGCTCCACTTCCACTGTTATTACGGGAGTTATTATGTCCACCAGTAATTGGCCTCTTTGCAATCGTCCCATTGTTCGTCTGACTATTGGACGTACAAGAGTTTCCATGCATGGGAAACAGACCTGTTAGAAGAGGAGACATTGCGCCAGATGAAAGAGCCAATTG